GGCACAGATGTTAGCTCAGGGCCAGTCTTACACACACACACACACACACACACAAAGAAAATGTGGTATATACATATGTATATATATGTATATGTATATACAATGAAATATTATTCAGCCGTAAAAAGAGAAAGAGGTCCTGTCATTTGCAGCAACATTGATGAACCTGGTAGACATTATGCTTAGTGAAAGAAGCCTGTCACAGAAGGACAAATACTGCAAGATCTCATTTATACAAAGTATCTAAAATAGTCAAACTCGTAGAAGCACAGAGTGAATGGTGGTTGACAGGATCTAGGAGAAGGGGGAAATGGGGAGTTGTTCAACAAATATAAGGTTTGTGGGGCCGGCCCCATGGCCAAGTGATTAAGTTCGCATGCTCCACTTCAGTGGCCCAGGGTTCCTGGGTTCGGATCCTGGGTGCAGACCTACGCACTGCTCATCAGGCTGTGCTGCGGCATCCCACATTGAAGAACTAGAATGACTTACAGCTAGGATATGCAACTATGTACTGGGGCTTTGAGTAGGAACAGAAAAAAAGAGGAAGGTTGGCAACAGATATTAGTTCCGGGCTAATCTGAAAACAAAAATAAATACAAGGTTTCAGTCATGCAAGATGAATAAGTTCTAGAGATCCGCTGCACAGCATTGTGCTTATAGTTAACATTACTGTACATTACTGTGTTCTACACTTAAACATTTGTTAGGAGAGTAGATCTCATGTTATGTGTTCTTACCACAACAGTAAAAATGATTGACTTGGAAAATAAGATAATTATTAAGAATGGAGTCAAATGGTTTCCATTATAGAAGATAGACCAGTAATCCAAATGACTGGCCTCAATAGCTTTGGTAAATAGAGAAGTCTGAGTCTGCTTCTGCTTGTGCATTAGCATTCAAGTTATCTCAAAGATGGGCTGAGGAGGCTTTGGGCAGACCAGCATCCCATGAATAGAAATTCCAGAAGACAGGAACCATAGACAGAATGAAAAGAGTTTGATTAGGATGCTTTTTACAAATGTGAAACTGTCACATTTTGCTATGAGTCAACAAATAAATTTAAAAAAGAAAAAGAAAGAAAGAGAAGAGAGGCCAGTAAAAGAGGAAAGTCATCATCTTCCTTATCAGGAAGTCAGTGTATAAGTCTAAAACTGAAAAATACAAAGTAGCAGTGTAGGAGTGCTGTTTTATAAACATGATATATTATGAGTGGGTGGAGGAATAAAGTTGAGTAGCCATTTATGGAAAGATTTTTCTTTAGCAGGAGAAATAAAGAATGACTTCATAGAGGAGAGGTCTTTATCAAATTTCTTTTGGTTGCAAGAAACAGAATCTCACCTGACCTGCCAAAGCAAAAAAGAAAGAAAGAAAGAAAAGGGAGCGGAGGGGGGGGGGGTGGTTTACTATAAAGATACAAGGGTACTTCCTGGAACTTAAGTATGGAAAGTACAGCTAATGCCTAGTGAGGGACTGGAACTGGGAATCTCGTGCCAAATGGAACAAGGGTTACTATATCTACCCCTTCAGAATCACAAGGTCTATGATCTTTGCTTTTCTTTGTTCATCTACCTTTACTACTATTTATAGAATGGCTTTCTCTACTTCTGAGCATGGTTCCTACAGAATGACATTCTCAGCCCCAAAGCCTACATCATCTAGGTCCAAGGGGGATCATCAGAAACTCACTAAAACTTCTGAATCCCAGTTCCAAATAACCAGAAGAGAGGATCTGAGTATCTCAACTTTGATCAGGTATCAATTCTGGCCATATTAGCAACTGTAAAGGTAGAGGGGTCGTTTATAACAAATAAAGCAGCAGAAGCCTCTACTGTGGCCAGAGAGTGAAAGGAACTCAAAGAAGGAGGGGTGTAGGGTAGGCAGAAATCCTGACAGGTGTCCATCATATATTTTCATGATAGGTATGTTTTGGGCAAAAGAGATATTGGTAAAGAATTCCAAGCAGAGGAAAGAACTGAAGCAAAGCAAGCAAGTGCAGGTCCTGCGTGGATGCCAATATATGATTCTGTTTAGCTAGCAGGGATAATGCAGGAATGCAATGCAAAACAAGGTTGGAAACACAGATTCTATGACCTTCAGACCTAATCCCACTCTTCATCTTTGCCTCCTGGCTGAAATATCCAGGGTTCTGTTTGTCCTTTGCTGATGGTTGCTGTGTTTCGTAATGTTGGATTGCTTAGAGGATTTGAAAACCAACCTGTTCAGGCCTGTCTGCAAAAGCTTATAGAGGTAAAGGAGTGAAAGGTTTGTATGAGCATCCTGCCTAACACTGTACAAGGGAACATTTAATATCCTAAATCCTCAATTAAAATGGTTTCATAATTATTTTTCCTAGTGAAATTTTAACTAAATTTATACTTAAGAAGCATTTAAAGTACTTTCGAGAGAAAAGGTGATTTTTCAAGCGTCCAGTATAACATCAAATCCTGAATGCCATCACTTGACAGAGGAAATGATTTTATAAGAGAATAGAAAAATTTCCTAGAAAAATACCAAAGTAAAAAACAAACCAAGCTTCTTTGACAGAAGAAATAAAATGGACAAACATCTCTGAAGATAAATTTTTGAAAATGTGAGAAGACACTAATCAGCAAGATTAGGAATAAAACAATCAACGATGCTTCAAAGATTAAAAAGGTAACAAGTAGGTATTATGAACAACTTTACATGATGCATTTGAAAACTCAAATGAAATGGATAAACCTCTAGAAAAAAATATGACGTCAAAATTTATTTAGGAAGAAATGGAAAATTTAAAGTCATATAACCATAAGGGAAATTGAATCAGAAGTTAAGAATTTTTTTCAGACACTACTTTTTACAGACAGTGTTGCCAGCAATTTCCAACAAATAGTCAAGGAAAAAATAAGTCTTCAAACATTCAAGGAAAAATAACTCCAATCTCACACAGCTATCTCAGTGTATAGAAAGTGGGAATATTACTAGCTAGCTTTACTAGGCTAGTGTAACTTTGATACAAAACCCAGTGAAACATGAGAACAAAATTGCAGATCAATCTTGCTCATGAACACAGACACAAAATTAGAAACTTAAGAAACAGAATCCAGAAGTTTGTGTGTGTGTGTATGTATGTTTTAAGATAATGCATCATTTGGTTGACCCCAGCAGTGCAAGTCTGATTTTATGTAAGAAATAAATTAACATATATCACCATATTGACTGACAAAAGGAGAAATTGTATAATCATCTCAATAGAAATAGAAAGAGCAATTGATAAAATTCCACATCCTTTTCTAAATTAAAAGAAAATAAATTAGAAATAAAAGAGGCCTTCCTTAAATTGAGAAAGGGTAGCTACAGAAAGCCTACATCCAGCATTATATTTAACAGTAAAATATTTAAAGCATTCCTTTTGAGGTTATGAACAAGACAAGTGTATCTGCTACCACCATGTGTGTAATATTGTACTGGAAGGCTTAGCCAGTAATCAAGCAGGAAAAAGTAATAAACGGTATGAGGATTGGAAAGAAAGCTGTCATTACATATCATCACACATCATTACTTGTGGATGTAAACTTTATGTGGGAAATCCAAAAGGAGCTACAAATAAATTATTAAAATTAATAAGGTAATTTAGCATAGTTGTAGGATATAAACCTCAATATACAAAAATAAATTTCAACAAACATAAAATGAAGTTTAAAAAATATATTTACAATAACATCAAACTTATAAAATGTATAGGAATAAATATAAGAAAATTGTTCAAGATCGTCATGAAAAAAATTATAAAACTTTATTGAAAGACAAAGAAAACCTACATAAACATATGTATACACATCGTATACATGGATAAGAAGACTTGACATCATAGAAACACCAATCCTTCCCAAACTGACCTGTAATTTCAATGTTTTTCCCATCAAAATCCCAGTAGGTATTTTGTGGCACTTGACAAGCTGATTTAAAAATGTATATGGAAGAGCAAGGGCCCAAGAAGAAGAAAAAGAAAAAGGAGTGCTTACTTTATCACATAGAATTATTATAATGCTCTAATAGTTAAGACCAAGGGGCTCTATCATGGGATAGTCAAATGAAACACAACAGAAAGTCCAAAAAGTGATCCACTCAAATGTGGATCTTTGATATATGACCAAAGGTATGTAGAGGTCATTGGAGAAAGAATGTTCTTTGCAATAAATTATCCTGGCACACTTGAGTATCCACGGGTGAAAATATAAAATCATATCCCTACCATACACTATGTTTAAAAACCAATCCATTAAATTAAGTTTTAGATGAGAAAGGCAAAGCTAACAACATAGAATATTCTTTTGATCTCCATATAGGGAAGGATTTCTTAAAATACAAAAACCATAAAGGAAAAGTTAAATTCTATGATTTAATTCAAAAGACATAAAAATAGTTAAAAGAAAATACACAAGCTATGAGAAGAGATTTTTAACACACAAAACTGAAAAAGATTAATATCCAAAATATGTTTAAAAATCAAACAAAAATAAAAACATTTCCTGCAAATGAATTAAAAGAGAGAAAACAATTCGACAAAAAGGGGCAAAATCTTGAATGAGAATTTCACAGATGAATAATCATAAGTGGACATAAACACAGGAAAAGATGCTCAACTTTATTAGAAATGCTGAAATGTAAATTCAAAATATAATGAGATAATATCACACCCCAAATGGAAGATAAAGTCTGGCAACATTACATGCTGGTGAGGATGTGGGAAAAGGATGGATTTTATACCGCTGACATGAGTATCAATACCCCATGACCCAGGAATTCCACTCCTGGAAATCCACTTGCATATGCAGCAAGAGAAATACCCGAGAAAGTATATAGTAGCACTATTTATTATCTCAACAAATTCTAAATGACCCAAATGCCCATCAACAATAGGACCAACAAATAAGTTGTGTGTTACTGCCATGGATTACTGTGCACTAGTAAAATTTAACAGATTTCAGCTACACAAAACAACATGAATTTTAAAAAATTTTATTAAAAATATATATGGTATGATCCGTTTCATATAAAGCTAATATGTTGTTGAGCGATTCAAGGAAAAGGTAATGCTATTATAGGAAGAAATGAAATTATAAACACAAAATGCTGGAGCATAGTTATCTGAGACAGAAAATGGAATGAGGTAAGAAAGGGACACACAAGAAACTTTAATATTGTTGGTCATGTCCTGTTTCTGGACTGGACAGTGGATAAGTGAATGTTCATTGTATTTATCCCTTACATCTTACACATGTTCCATAAATATTTTTGCATGGGTCTCAGTTTTTAAATTCTTAAAAGTTGTTTAAGTATCTCAAGCATAATAACAACTTTTCAACACTCTGCATTAGCACAATCTGAGAGAGTCTGTGCTCTGGTCAAAGGATCCAATCGGCTGAATCCTATGGGAGCAAAATCCCAAATGCAGAAATGAATGCATCAGACCACTGTAGCCTGTCACACCCAGTCACCTCATCTCACTTCTCTTGTTCCAATTCTTCTTTTGCCAACCCATCTCCCAATTATAAATTTTACATCCCACATCAATTTGCCCACAGGGAGAGCGGGTACCGATCAACAAACATGAGTCACCAGAGAGCTTGATAGCTCCATTCCTCACTGTAATTTAAAGCTGGCATTCTGGCTGATATTTTAAATTCTATAAGCATCCTCAGGGACAATCTATGCCTGCTGAAGAGAAGAAGGAAAGATGAATCATTCCAAGGACAAGTGGAAGGGGAAGCTGAGAAGGAGGCAGAAGGGGAGAAAGCCATAAATCAGATACAATAACAAGAGACTTTATTATAGGGCACTTAAACTGGTTGCATGCGGAAACATGAGTGTTTACAAAGCAAATACACAACTTATAAAGTAGTGCCATCACAGAAGACAGTATCCTGTAGTGGAAAGAACAAAGTTTTCAGAGTCAAATTTGGCTTGTGTACTGGCTTCCTCAATCCTGAGCTCTGTAAGTCTCAGTATATTTATCTGTAAATGAAGATAATAATACTGGTGACGAATAAAGATAATATACTGCAGCTCTTCTCAAAGGAAGGCAATTTGGTAACATAGAGGGGCTTGGGTTTTGATGCCAGACTCCAGCCTGATTCTGGCTCCACTACCTTCTAGTTTTATAGTCTCCAAGACTCATTTTTCTCATCTATAAAATAGGGTAATGAGACCTACCTTGGGGATGTCATGAGACTTAGAGATAATGAGCCCAGTATTGACACTTACAAAGTGTTCAACAAAGCTTACATAATATTATTGTTACTGGATGTTGATTTGTTATTAAAAAAGCAAGATCAGACATGGCTAGGACATGGAAGTGGAGAGACTCTGGGGACAAGGAGAAGGTGTAGTTACACTGATAGGCCATCAGCATGAGCTGAGGCAGGAGGGCAAAGAGAAGAAATAGTAGTCAATAGCTACATGGGGCTGGCTATGGTAAACTAAGGAGGAAGCACCAAGCAGGAAGGAAACTGGCCTTAGGTTGGTCTGATCATGGCATCAGTGATTCAGATATGGGGCTTCTACTCAAAGACAAATATCTATTCACTGGAAAGGAGACTGGAAAGGAGTCCCGCCAGTCAGTCCCAGAGGAACGTGGGTAGCAGATGGGTAATCGAGATAAGGATTCTGACCCAGATGTAGTTGACAGACATAAGATGGGGAATTAGGTGGTGGAACTGTGGCATAAGTCACAGTATTAATCACATATTCAAAGCAAGAGTCCACAAGATCACAGCAAGGCTGACAGATGCAGAGCTGGCTTTGGCTTCTTAAATATTCTAACCAGGCTAAAGTAATCATTCTCTCCTCTGAGAAAGGAATGTTCAGGAGCTCTAGGGTGTAGTGTCTGGGGAACTCATCGTGGCAAGGGGATAGAATATTACTTAACCTGGGGCTATATTACACAGAACAGAGGGAAAGTTCTGTGAAGCAAGATGCTGGACAAAAGCTAGATGCTGGCCAGCCACATCATCCAGAACAAGGCCAGGCAGAGTCCTAGTCATCAGGATGGAAGGCAGGCTTGAAACCTGGAGTAACCTGTGCTAGCAAAAGTTTCTACAGATGGCATTTTATATGATGTGTGAGGGCTTGAGAAATAACATGTGGATGGGAACAATCAAAGGCACAGAATTTGCTTGACACAACTGTGCAGGTGTCTACACGTCTCAGTTGCAAAGGTGACGGGGTTTTATCTGTAAGGAGCCAAGCACATCCCATTTTCAGAATGGCTGAGATTGGCAAAAAGGGCCTACTGTGGAGCTGATGCCCATCGCATGACCCAATCCCAAACCCACGCTTCTTAGCTTGAGCCATCTCTGCTAGTTCTTAGGAATGACAGAGCAAAATGCTCCTCACAAAGATATCTGCCCCTGAGTTCCTGGCTATGCTGGATGCAAACTTGGTGTTTGAAGAATAAAAATCAATTTCCTGAGAGAACTCTATAGAAGAGTGTGTCATTTCAAAGTACTATGAAGAGTTCTATAAATATAGTTGACTTGGAAAATTACTTTGAAGGGAATACAATTGTATTTCTTGAATGGGAAGCTAATCTAGTTTCAGAATAACTTTTTCAAGACAATTTTTCTTCCTAGTTGCCCTCTCACTGAGGACTGGAGAAGTGTTCTAATACAGTAGATACTTGCTTGCAGCTGCCTAGGTTTACTTTATAGCTAAAATTAATTTCAGCACATGCATTATGGTTTGGGCTGCGGAGTGTCACTTGGCTTAAACATGATTCCCTACTCAGGGCACCAAAGAGTGCTTTGATTTTATGTTTGGTAGGACAGGTAGTTCCTTCCTCTGTTACTAATAATCTCTTTTATTAATCATCAGCTTTGCCAAAAAAAATTGCCTGGATGCTTTTGAGCATTAATGACAAAAGTCTGCTTTTTCCAAATGCCCTCCAACTTGAGAAGAAATAAATCCCCACAAATTCTACCTCCCACACCAGGGGGGTTTATTCCATCTGAAGTTAGAGCGAAAAGCAGACTTAGGGAAATAACTGGACTTTCTAATCCCGATGTAAAAGGTTTAATGTCTTAGTTCACAACTCAAGAATTTTAATTAATAATAATACTGTTCTCTGGTTCTTCTATTCACCCTTTTACTTGGTTAAATATCAATTTATTAATTCTAGTAAATATTTATTATTTGTTTATTCTAAAATGTCTACTATTTCACTGCACATGACATCTCTAAAAATACAAGATTCATCAGTAAAGCCATCACAATTGTCATTTCTGGTGCTTGGTTCTCTTCAGTACTCTAGGGGGAAAAGTCCTTATGCCTTTCCTCTGTTCTGGCTTCGAGAGGAATTTAAATATTCCTCCATTAAAAAGTCTGTTTCTACCAGCCTCAGCCTCTGTGGCCATCCAAACTGCTGACCTTTCTCTGGAATGTCAGCTCTTTAACTGGAACTCCTTAAGTTTCCAACTTAAACTAGCTTCAAGCCTATTTTGGGGAATTGGACTTTTGTTTACATACGAGGAAAATAAAATTGCTTTTTTTTTTTTTAAGTAGACATGCTGGAGCTGTGTTCTGAATGAGGAGCAGGACTTATCACTTTTATTTGGGAAGATTTGTTTCTGGGTCTTATTGTGATTCTGTTAGAGAACCACCCGTGGGCATGTCTGGAAGAAAGAACTTGAGAAAAAGCAGGAGCTAAATTGTGTTGCTTAATAAAGTTACAGGGATTCTTGGCTTGTTCCCTGGCAGCTAGAGGAGAATAAAGTATTAAGGACCCCAGGAAATGTGAGGAAGTGGGAAGACGGGAAATTGCAGACCCCAGCAACCTGAGGCATTAGCATCTGAAGAGAAAGATGGCCCCTAATGGATTCCTGTGTGTATGGATTGGCCAAGTTCTTCAGAAATATTGAAATCAGCCATCCAATTAGCTTCTTCACCTCTGCTATGATCCCTCTATTATCCCCAAATCTTTATTAAAATCCGGTGACAATAGCTGCTTTGTGGTATATTTACCTTGGAATGAAGGAGAGGGTAGCTTATGCACATTTGGGACAAAGATGAAGAAAGGAGAGAGCAGGCAGCAAGAGTGATGAAAAACATGTATGGGTGACTGAGGCAAGGCCGGGAGTTCTGAGGGACAGATGACAAATGGCAACCAGAAGAATGTACACTTCTCCCATTCCAGGAGCCCTACAAGCATTAGAGAAGGAGCTGACCTTCCTAAAGCTGCATGGCATGGGGAAGGAGCTGAAGCAAGACGTGTTCCCAGAACACTAGAAGACTCAGACACCTATCAATTACGTATAACATACAAACTTCTTTTTTTCTCTTTAAAAAGTCAATATCATTTCACCTTATAATGACATTTATGTGGAAAAAAGCTCATTGCCATATTCTTATGGTCTACTCTCTTCAGTCCAAAGCAAACAAATCCAAAGGAACTGGTTGTTCTCTGACAATCCAACTAACAGAAGACTTGTTTTGTTAGGCTAGGACAAAAGACCCTTGTTCTATTTTATGTCTTATAGTGGTATTCAAACATTCCTGTGAGGAGAGCATTTGCAGCTAAGTCACGTTGGTTTCTGGCTGCTCCACTAACCACAATCCTCCTCAACTTCATTGCTTTCAAAGAAGCAATGGAAGCAAGGAGACAAAGTTATGACTCTCTATAGACAGATGACATAAAACGAGGATGAACCTCGCAGACACTGGGTTCTTTGCTGATAAGTCCAGAATCAGCTCCTGGATTCATCTCAAAACCAGACTCCTGGCAGCCACTAGGGGTCAGTTGGAACTGGCATGTGAGATGTAATGGACACCTCTGTGCCCTGTCTCTTCCTCTTAGCTCACCTTTCACTACAGACATTGCTGCCGCCAGTGCCTCTGCTTGCAGGTGCATCCTGATAACACTTCAGATTAACTTCACCACTTGTCTCTTGCTTTCTGAGGTAGGGCTTTTCTGTCACTCTCTTGAAGGACCCTTTGGGAATCTGTCACACTCCCTCACATGTGCAGCCTGGAAGCACAAGAGAGCTTGTGCCTTTAGGGCAACTCTTGACCAATGGGGGATGGGAGCCAGTGGATAAGAACTAACTGCCCTCTTTTCCATCCCCCGGGTGGCCCACTCTGAGGCACAGTCTACACTGCTTGTCAGAGAATCCCAGTTGCCTACAGCAGTGACCAACTCAAGAATGCACCCTGGTGTCAATTTTCCCTCTTGCCCTCCTTCTCTCTCCACTGTCTTCTGCTCCTTATTCTTGGGACTGCTTCCCAAAATGAAATACCTGCATGCAAGCTCTTTGAGGGGAAAACCAGGCCTAGTAAACTATACCACAACTAGTGAAATGAGTCAGTTTTATAAATAAAATAATTTGATTTTTACGTTGTTATGATTCTTTTATAGTCTCTCCCTCAAGAAATCCAGAAAGGATTTAAACATATGGCATGACAAATTGTCCTTTACACCTCTTCATTGCATGACATAAAATATTGTCATGTAGATTAATTTAATCTCTAATTATTTCATGTTTGCATTTTAAAAATAATCTATAGATGTTTGAAATATTTGCACTTAGTTTTATTACTGACAATTTAAAGTAAACAGAACTTTCCATGTATCTTTTAATTTTACTTTAGAGCTACCTTTATATTTATTCCTATTTAGTATATTGACTTATTTTTACACTTGGCACTTATTTTTGTGAGTTATATGAGATAGTTTTGATAGAACCTGATGTCAGATTTACCGACATTGTCCCTGCCCTCTTGGAAATTCTGGCTGTTAATGAGTGTCCTGTCCTCCTTACGCTTTAAAACAAAAAGGAGGGATCTGAGGTGCCTCAGGACAATCAAGACTTGAGGTTTGTTCTCTGATGTTGCTGCCTGGTTTCTAGAAGTCCATGGAAATGGGAGTTAGAGGGTCAAAAGTAAGTAATTATGATATACCTCAGTGGACAGTTGTGATGAGGGCAAGGCAAATAGGTAGCAAATATCTACAACACTCCAATTCCAAGTCTTATGATTAGAATAATGCCCCTCCATCTGGCCGGTGAAGGCGAGTTTCTTCTGTTTGATCACTCCACCTTTGTTCAGTCTCATGTTCATCATTTAGCAGCTATCTGCATCCCCGTTTCATTACGGCACTGAGAAGGATATATTTTCACTGTGGTGCTGGGTACCACCTGCCCGGGAAGCTGGCATCACAATCTTCCACCTAGTTAGGAGTGTCTGAGAATGGAGACAGGGTGTGAAGTGGTCTTTTGTTTCTCGGGGCCATGGGAGAATCAGCTTTTATCATCTTTAACTATTTGTCTTATCTTTGAAGGAATGAACATCCAAGTGACTGGAGAGTAGTCTTGAGTAGCATAAATAAAGGATGAAGTCCTCATTTGTTTCTCTTGACCTGATAACCTATTCACTTTTTAATACGCTCTTAAGAATTTCACCTCTTTATAGCTTATTGTCTTATTCTTTTGTAATGTAAAATAATCTTTACACCATTTCAAAGGCAAAGGGAGAAGCCCCTTTAGGAAGTTAGCTTGTGATAACTTGTGGTAAGTTATCTCTTGACTTTATGAGTGAGGTAGGAGAGCACAGGGATGAAGCAGACGTTCTCTGGTTCCATTCTGAGAAAGGCTGCTCAGAACCAAGGAACAGTGATGATTACAGGATTGAAGCGGTGAAAAGCAGGCGAAGGTAACTTCTAAAGTGAAGTAATTAGTAATTAATGGTCTTAGGAAACAGACAAATTCTGATAAGATTACTGAGTCTTGAGGCAGCCCGGAATGAGAAAAACGAAAGCGTTTCCATAGAAAGGAAAGCATATACACATATATATATGCAAGTGAAGCTTACAGCAGTTTCTCAGTAATAAGTGAAATATTAAGTGAAATAACTGATATTTGGCTTATTCATAGCCTTTAATCTAAATTGCACTATTGGAATTTTTCTTCAATACCATCTAAAAAGCTATATAAATAAAAAGATACTTGCACCATTATTTATAATAGTGAAAAGTTCGAAACCATCTGAATAACACATCACACATTTATTGGTTAAACATATTATAACACATCAATTCAATGGAATATTTTGCAGCCATAAAAGTAAAGATTATGAAGACTATATACCAACACCATGGAAAACATTTCTGATACCTTTATTAGAAGGCAAGGTTTCTCAACCTCAGCACTGTTGACATTTCAGGCCAGATCACTGTTAAGGGGGTGGAGGACTGTCCTGCGTTGGTCTCTACCCACTAGATGGCTCAGCTGTGGCAACCAAAAATGTCTTCAGACACTGCTGAAAGTGCCAGGCTGTGCGTGGGGGTGGGGAAAACGTTCCTGGTTGAGAACTTCTGTTAAAGGGGAAAATCAAACTACAAAATTGCTTCTATATTATGATGACATCTAAGAGAAATGAAGTATGCACCGAGATCAGAACAAAGAGTAAACACAAAAATCACAACATTTATTTATCAGGTGGTGGTATTCTGAATAAAAATTCAGAATATAAATTCTGATTAGGAATATAAATTCTCAATAAATAAAAATTTGTAGAGAAAAATACCAGAATTGGAGTAACAGAATACTACAATTGTATTATTTTTGTAATAAAATGAATGGTTTGGTTAAGAGCATATTTTAGTAATTTGTTTTCTTTAGTCCTAGTAAAGCCTACCCATTGGATTTCAGTCACCTAGAACAAATTCCATGATTTACCTTCCAGCAGGTTCCCAGTCTCAGAGTTATGATACGGAAACATGGTTAGCTTTGTACCTCTTGTCTTTCTCAGTGATGGAAGGTCTGTGTTTTCATTTGTTAGGGCTGCCGTAACAAAGCACCATGGACTGGGTGGCTTAAACAACAAAAATTTATTGTCTCCCAGTTCTGGAGGCTAGAAGTTCAAAACTAAGACGTTGGCAGAGTTGGTTCCTTCTGAGGGCTGTGAGGGAGGGATCTGTCCCAGACACCTCTCCCTGGTTTGTAGATGACCATTTTCATGTTCCCACGGCCTTCTCCTTATATCTTCACATTGTCTTACCTCCGTCTTCTAATTTTCCCTTTTTATAAGGAGACCAGTCATATTGAATTAGGGTCCACACTAACGATCTCATTTTAACTTGATTACCCCTGTCAAGACCCCATCTTCAAATAAGGTCACATTCTGAGGTCATGAGGAGTTAGGACTTTAACGCATGAATTTGAGGTGGGGGGGGGGCACAATTCAACACATAACAGTCAGATCCTCAAGATGAGCAAGACGAGCTCTTTCTAACTGCACACAAAGCCCTGGAAATTTTGATATGCTCCTCACAGATTTCTTACAAATGGACAGGTGCCCTCTCTTGCTTCCCCTCCCTGCCCCATTCCCTAAGGGAGTGTCTTGCTTTAGGAAGCCACTGTTACTGATGAGACTGTGTGATATCTTTCAGGGGGTGTTGGACAAAGCCAGAAACCACTGGTTTTGGGTAATGTTTTAATAACCTAGATAATAAATATTTTAATATGCCAGTAAAGTGAGCTTTTGTTCCACATATCAACTACATGTAGATGAAAGGTTGAAAATAATATTCCTGTTATGACTTGAGAACAAAGTAGAAAATTTACACGTAATGGCCATGGGGTGGATTTATTTCCATAAAATGGCATTCTCTGCAGTTTCAATTTCATGTGAAGAATTCTAAAATTTCCAAGATGCTACTCAGCAGAGCCCTGCTTATTTATGTGCAGTGGAAGAACCAGTCATGGATTTTGGCTTAGTTTCCAATCTAAAAGAATTTAAGGAAAGTGTTATTTTCAGCCCTAAGTCTCAAAACTTCACCATATTCTAGTGTTAGATCAAACACAAGACATAAATTTAGCTTTCTATGGATTATATGGACCCAGATTCAAAAGTTGATGTTAAATTGAGACCATTTCACAGAAATTTTAGTACATATATTAAGTAACCTGGATATGAGTAACTGTCTTACTAAGTAGTATTGAGCCCTTTCACAAGTAACTCGGATGCCAGAGGGGGCCTATATGCCTGTGTTCATCTATGCTCTTTTCATATTAGCCAAGTAGAAATCCAGATTCAGAATTCATCCTCTTCCCAGATTTCCACAAGAAATGCAATGATTTCAAGTATACATTTGGATTTGTGCATACACTGATGATCTGGAGATTACTAAGAGCCCAGCGCACAGCTTCTTTCTCTTTTCTTGATTTCTCCTTTTTGTGTTTTCTCCACCCTACTCCTCTCCCCAAGCCACACTATCCCCTCTGCAGCAATGCCAATTCCTCTTCTTACTTCATGCATAACATGGATTACAATGTACCAATGTATTTTATTTTATTTCCTCAAATAAATGCAGAGATTTCCCTAAGAACAATCAGGAGACCAAATGTTTCTCTATTCCATTACACATTGACCATGGGTAACTTCTTTAACCTCTCTAAAGACATACAATGGAAATCCCCCCATAAGGTGATATAACATGACTGGCAAGGACCTCCATCCTCTGATCAGCCCCTTCTCAATGAGGAAAAGCTGAAGTTTATTTAGGTGGGAGAAAAAGAGAAAAAGCTAGAAGGGAAAAAAGTAAACAATCTCAAACCATTTAGGGAATGCAGGGAGAGGAAGATGGATCCCTGAATCCTGAATATTCTCTTGACCTCAACTGGCCAACTAACTGGGATACATCACAACTTTAAACTTCAGAAGATTCTCGACAGATGTAGATGGCACACTTGGACCCTGGAACTTCCTGCATTTTATTAATCATGCAATAAAATGACCACATGTTACACAACTGAATTTTTAGATCTCACTTGTCATGTTAATGGTAGAGTTTATATGAATATGGAATGATTTTTAAAGTTCTTTAACGTATCATGTCATTGGACTCTTAGAACAATCACCCCATTTAACAGGGGAAAAAACAAACAAACAGACATTTCTGAAGAAAGTAAGGGACTTAACAAATTAGTACCAAGAGTTGAAACTCCTATCAGTTCTCCTGATGGCAATTGTACTAATATTTCCTGGAGGGTATGCTTCATTCCCCAGGAGACCTCATCAAGACTAGACAGTAGAAACTTATTTTTCCTCCAAAACACTTATTTGGACTGGTACTCAGTTAATTATCTCATATTTTACCTGGCCAATGTCCACATGTTTTAGAACTATGTGGGCCCATGTCTTCCATATTTGGTGGACTCCAATTGCAAGCTGGGTCTAAAACAACCTAGTTTAGTAAATTTGATCAAGCATGCAGTCATTTTAGTTAAATAAATGGATGGTTAATTTTATGTCATAATTTCAGAAGTTGCAGGTTTAAGTTAATGTTTGTTACTTGGTGCTTTGTCTTGGCAACTTCTCATGTGACACAAAGTACTCATATGCTTTACAAGAAAAATCTTGTTCCTGCTTGGGGCAAATTTCACCATGGTAAACCAGTGCAATCTGCCTATGCTTATGCCATCGCTTTCTCTCTGCTCTCACAAGTGACTTCAACCTGTCTTCTAGACAAGTAAGGATATTAGAGCTGTTTCAGTCTTAAAGTTCCTATAGCATCATTCTTTGATGAGGACTTTTATATTTAACCCCAAAGCCATGAAGTCTGTTTGTATGATCAGAAGGAGAATTTGGGGACCAGAGCAAAAAGTGACCATCAAGCAATAGATTGCTTGCTGGCATTTTGATGATAAGCAGTCTGTGTTTGAATCTCCTTTCTGCCATTTGTTGACTGTGTGACCTTAGATGCTTTACCTGTCTTCTCTAAGCTTTAATTTTCTCATCTGTAAAATGAAGACAAGAACAGTGTCTGTCTCATTGAGTTAGTGTGAGGTTCCAGGGACTTGAGGCACACAGATGTGTTAGCACAGTGCCTGGCACATAATGAGAGTGTAATAAATACTAATTATTATGACAGAACCTCTTCACTCTACCACTTCTTGGACATGCAATTCTGACCAAGCCATTCAACCTCTCTAACCTCTATTCGATAAGGAAATAGACTAGACTAGACGTTCTCTAAAATTTTTTCAGCTATAATTTTCTAGAAATCAAAATCATTCTGTATATTCATTGCAGTGATAATTAGTACTCACCAAACACTCTATATGCTCCTCTTCATTTCCAAGCATTTTAGTTACTTGGGGCCTCATAACTAGTTCTGGCCAATGGAATGTGGTGTGAATGATGTACTTCTCCGTGTCCAGGGTAGTCATGAGCCACTGTGAATTCTCCACATTCTCTCTCTCTCACTCTCTCTTGCTTTCATCAGTTAAACTGAAAGCAAAGAATTTTTAAGACAGCTTTGTTGCAATATTGAAGCAATCTGGATCTCTGAGATATCACTGGAGAAAATCTTCCTGGCCTGCATTTGACTGTGACAAGAGTAAGAAACAATTCTTTGTTGTATTAAGCAAATGAGATTTTGAAGTTTGCTGTTAAAGCAGCTAGCAGTTACTTGCCCTGACTTATATAGTACTCAAACTCCTCCACACCTGATATCTCAAATGTTTTATGTAGGTAAATTTTTAAAAAAATAACACACACAATTGTTGGGAGGTGGAGGCGGGGGCAGGACGGAGGAAAAGAATGTAATTAAAGATCAACATGTGGCCTGAGAAGCATGCGTGAAAAACATGGAAGAGGCCAAGAAGCCAAAAATGGCATTGTTTTATGGCTTTCCATAAAACAAAAGCTCCAGGTTTTTGTGGAAGTTACCACATCCACCCTCTTTCTCATCAACTTGGTTCCAGGTTTATTTCACTGTTCATGCAGGGTGGCTCTGACTCTTCAGCCAGAAATTCCTCAAGCTGTTTTTATAACACCTTACCATTTCTCCTGGTATTTCACCGGGCATCGTGAAATTCTTGAAGCATAACTAATTTTATTACAATTACACTAATAGGAATAAAAATGTTTCACACTACAGGTAAAATGGAAAAGCACACAATATCTATGTGCCTACTTCACAGGACTGTTGTGAAGACCAAAGTAGATACCAGAGGTTAAAATCCGTGAAGTGCTGTGCAGTAAGGTGAGGTGGATGATGTGATGTTGGAATGAGGGGTATATTGCAAAGGCACTAGAACTCATGAAAGAGTCTGAATAGCTGAGATAGGAAAACTATATTTTTAAAGAGACAAAACAAGAAAGTTAAAATACAAAGTATGGTTAGAGATCTACACAGGAACTTTACTAACAGGAGCCTAGATTCATTCTGCAGAGTATACCCCATTTCCCTAACCTTTTTCTTTTAAAAAAAGTAGTACATCACACAAAAAAAGAATAACACCTTCAGAATAACTGAAACTATAAGAGCAGTGAGAATGGTCTTTCTAAGCATCCATGTATTTACACATCTCTAGATAGTTCAGGGAAACTGGAATTCTTTGAGAGTTTGCATCTATATTCTATTAACTAAAAAAAATAATGATAAAGGGAGGCATATATCAATGCCATTTTATTAATAATGATTGATTTAAATATGAATTTGAAAAGTAAGTAAATACCACTGACTCAGCTCTCCATGTCATTTATCAAGATGGATTTATCCAAGCCATTCATGATTCAAATGGAATGTTGGAACAGAGACTACTGCACCATAACAAACAAGGTAGATGAAAATCTCAGAGGATGACTGTTGACCTAATCCAAACAAATATCTCCTCGTTCCACTGGCTGTTGCCAAGTCTCAGTAGAGTGCCAAGAATAAATATAGCACAAGAGAGGAAAGGGGTCTGCTTGGTTTTCTGTTTGTGATTGTTCAAGCGGATGAGTGATAGAGCTGAGAGCTGATCTCCGCCAACTGTATGGAAGCCATCAGATCATTGACGTCAATGCTCAGAATGGGGTGTGCTATGAAAGCAGTAGTCCCTCACAAGATAAAAGGGAAAGTAAACAGTGTGACCTGAAGAAGAGGATGAGGCTCGAGGCAATATCTTAGGTCACTGAGGCAAGAACAACACTTCACTGTATCAATACTCACCATCCAGTGAGGCCCCTCTTGAACCCTGGTTGAGTGGGTTTTCCTGAAAGGGAATTGCAGGAGAACTTGGTGGATGGTATGAAGAGGTACTTAGCAGTATCATATTAATATCAGAAGAGCAATGACCCATGTATTCTCTGAGCCTTTGAGCTACATACATTGTGTAATTTACAGGAGATCTGCTTCTCTAAAGTCTGGCAAACATTTGGCCATTTCATCTCATATTCGAGCTACATATTGAACATACTATGATTTTAAATAGATGCAAAAATCCATGTTTAATAGTTGTCAATGACTCTACATTAGATGCAACTAACCGTCAAATGGTTCCCCAATATTCACATACTGAATAGGTTTTTGGCTCCTCACTCAGGATCTAGCAATGAGTGAAGAAGTCACTACCTCGAGGGATAGAAGGCAGGGAAGGGGAGGGAGAGGAGCGAAGTGTAAGACCTGGATAATGGAGGGAGGGGATAAAGAACCATAGGAATAAACAGGACTGAGAGCCCTGATGGCTGCATGTCAATCATTGGTTCTTCTGTCAACCACAAATTCCCTGAGTGGAAGAGGGAAAACTTGTCAGCAAACTGGACATGCTTCTCCCCCCAAGACACACACACACACACACACACACCCGAAGAACATTTAAAGTATATCTCAGTTTCACCTGGAAAAATTCAGTCTTTTCAAGCCAGAAAAGGATTCTTAATATAACCTAAGACCCCAGATCTGTTCAACATCAAGTTTGATCATATTATTCAATACCTTGACATGAAATATACAGTGGTTGGGTGGAGCTCAGCAGCATTCTTACTTTATTCAGCATGCTTAAAATTTCTTTGCTTCTTGACTCCAAAGCTTTCTTCTAGGTTTAGTTTCCTTGTGACTGAATTACATCAACTAGTAGTTTGTAAAGCAAAGATCTATAGGTAGTAAAATTTACTCTTGAAATGTCTCTATTTTAATTCTTTAATGGTAGGTTAAATGGATATAAAGTTTCAGGTAAAACTTTATTTTCCCTCAGCACTTTAAAGATGTTTCATTGTTTTATGTCTATTGATGCTGAACGGAATTGTCTATCAGCCTAAATATCATTCCTTTGTAAGCAATATTACTTTTTTCTTGGTTAGTATTTAAGGTTTCCTTTTTGCCTATTCTGCAATTTCAACATGAGCTCCTTCAGACTTAGCTTTTGATATATCTCAAATTATGGAAAATACTTAGCGATGATTCCTTTCAATATCTTATTTTCCTCTACTTCTTTATATCCTCTCTTTCTGGAACTTCACTAGACATATGACAGAGATTCTCAAACTATATATCTCTTTCATATTCTCTATTTCTTGATGTTTTTGTGCTGCATTCAGAGTGATTTTTCTCAGATCTGTCTTCCAATTCACCAATTTCCTCTTCAATGAGTGTAGTCTACTGTTAATACATTATTGTCCTTTTTTATAGAAATTTTATTAAGATGTAATTCACATACCATACAATTCACTCATTTAAAGTATACAATTCAGGGCCAGCCCCATGGCCGAGTAGTTAAGTTTGTGCCCTCCGCTTCAGTGGCCCAGGGTTTTACTGCTTAGAATCCCAGGCACAGACATGGCACTGCCCATCAGGCCATGCTGAGATGGTGTTCCACATAGCACAACCAGAGGCACTCATAACTAGAATATACAACTATGTACCAGGGGACTTTGAGGAGAAGAAGAAGAAGAGGAAGAAAAGAAGATTGACAACAGATGTTATAGTTCAGATGCCAATCTTTAAGAAGAATAAATAAATAAAGTGTACAATTCAGCACTTTTAGTATATTCACAGGGTTGTGTGAACATTAGCACAATTTTATCACACTTTCATTACTCCAAAAGAATCCATGTACTTTTAAGCTATCACCCCCAAATTTCTCCTCACCCTAGATAACATCTACATCTGTCTCTATGGGTTTTCCTATTCTGGACCTTTCATATGAATCATAAAACATGTGTTCTTTTCTGAATGGCTTCTTTCATTTAATATAATGTTTTCAAGATTCATCATGTTGTCACATATGTCAGTACTTCATTCCTTTTTATTGCCAAATAATGGTCCATTGTGTCATTATCCCACACATTACTTATCCATTCATTAGTTGGTGGACATTTGGTTTTACTCTGCTTTTTGGCTGCCACAATCATTCATGTACAATTTTTCTGTGTAGACATATTTTTATTTCTCTTGGATATATACTTATGAATGGAATTGTGGGTCATAAGGTAACTATGTGTTTAACCTTTTTTTTTTTTTAAGATTTTATTTTTTTCCTTTGTCTCCCCAAAGCCCCCCGGTACATAGTTGTATATTCTTCGTTGTGGGTCATTCTAGTTGTGGCATGTGGGACGCTGCCTCAGCGTGGTTTGATGAGCAGTGCCATGTCCACGCCCAGGATTCGAACCAACGAAACACTGGGCCGCCTGCAGTGGAGCACGGGAACTTAACCACTCGGCCACGGGGCCAGCCCGTGTTTAACCTTTTGAGGAATTTCTAGATTGTTTTCCAAAGTGACTGTATTGTTTACAGGTGGGAGGTTGATAGGGACTGCACTGACTCTGTGGATTTATTTGGGGAGTATCACCATTTTGCAAACAGTGAGTCTTGTGACCATGCACGTAGGATGTCTTTCCATTTATTTTAGTCTTCATTAATTGTTTTCAACAATGTTTTATAGGTTGCAAAGTATAAACTTTACACTTCTTCTGTAACACTTATCCTAAGTATTTTATTCTTTTTTATGCTATTGTAAATAAAATTTTTTAAATTTAATTTTAAGATTATTCATTGCTGGTGTATAGAAAGACAATTGATTTTTGTACATCGATCTTGTATTCTGAAATCTTGACGAACTTACTATTTCTAATAGTTTTCTTAGTGGATTCCTCAGGGTTTTCTAAACACAAGATCATGTCATCTACAAATAGAGACAGTTTTACTTCTCCCTCTCTAATCTCCATGCCTTTTATTTCACTCTCTTAGTTAAATGCACTGGCTGGAAACTTCAGCACAATGTGGACTAGAAATGATGAGCAGACATCTTTGTCTTGTTCCTGATTTTAGGGGAAAGCATTCAGTCTTTCATCATTAAGTGTGAAGTTAGCTATGGACTTTGCCTCGATGCCCTTTCTGGAGTTGAGAAAGTTCCCTTCTATTCCTAATATTTTAACTGTCTTTATCATGAAAGGATATTGCATTTTGTCAAACGGTTCTGCTGCATCTATTCAAAGATCACTTGGGATTTTGTCCTTTATTCTATTAGCATGGTGCATTACATTAATTGACTTGGGGGTGTAAAAACCAACTTGCATTAATCCCACTGGGTCAAGGTGTATAATTCTTTTCATATGTCGCTGGATTCTGTTTGCTACCATTTTGTTGAGGACTTGCATCTATTTCTTAAGAGATATTCGTCCATAGTTTTCCTTTCTTCCGACGTTTTTCTCTGGATTTGGTATCAGCATAATAAGAGTCTGATAGAATGAGTTGGGAATTTCCCCTCTTCTTCCATTTTTTTAGAAGAGCTTATAAAGAATTGGCATTAATTTTTTAAATGTACGGTTGAATTCACTAGTGAAACTGTCCAGGCCTGGACAGTTAGTAACCACAGTTTTTTTTATTACTGATTAAATTTATTTTCTTGTCATAGGTCTATTCAGATTTTACATTTCTTATTGAGTCAGTTTGGTAGCTTGTGCCTTTCTAAGAGTGGGTCCATTTTATCTAAATTATCTAATTTATTGGCACACAAATGTTCACATTATTTCCTTTCAATTCTTTTTTATTTCTGTAAGGCTAGTAGTCATGTCCCCACTTTCATTCCTGATTTTGATAAGTTGAGTTGTCTCTTTTTTTGCTTTGTTAATCTAGCCTAAGTTTTGCCAGTTTTGTTCATTTTTCAAAGATCAATTTTGTATTTCATTGATTTTTCTATTTTGTTTGTCTCCTATCTATTTCATTAATTTCTGCTGTAATCGTTATTACAGCATAAAAATGAGAAGGGAAGCATAAGCTATCTTTTCCATTATTCGGTCTTACAAATGAAAATAAGCAAAGCCACAAACTCATACTATAGGAAATTAATTATTGCTTCAAACCATCCCCACACCCTCAAGCACAAGTGCCCACAACAGAAGTTGGTTTAAGTGTATAAGAATCTGGAATCCAAAGTCTGAGAGGAGAATCAAAAAATGTCACCCTCTGACAGTACTCCTCATCAAAATCACACAATGAAATCAGATAGTCGTCTGCACAGATAGGCTCTACCCTTTTTCTCTCCCTAAAGTGAACTTATAAATGCTTCACTAACCAAACTAAGATGCATTCCATCTAACCAAAGGACTAGAGCAATTGTTCCCAAACTTTTTACCACCAGTGTGACTTTTAAAAATTTACTTCACCTGTGCCACCCCCATATCAGCAGAGTCTTTAAAAGATTTTGTCTACCAAATAAGCTGCATTTATAGCAAGCAATAATAGACTATTCGTCATGGCATACTATCATGATTTTTTGGTGAATGTTAATCCAGATAGTAAATGATTTATTAGCAGCAAAGTTTATGATAGTATTATGAAATCACATCAATTGCTATCAGGACTGTAAGACTACTAATAAATAAGATTAAGTAAGAATCTAGTCCCTTAGAACATAGAACTCTTGTTTGCTTAATATTGACTGTCACAGTGGCAGGATTCAACCCATTCAAGTCAAACACTCTAACTACTTGACCTGTGCTCTAAGAGCTGCATTTGGCTCAGCACTCTTGTCCCAGAATTTCCTATGATGTCCTCAATGGCCAAATTAAACTGAAATTATAGTAACTTGGTCTTAGTAATAAGATAAACACACACTGTTTAGAAGCTCTGCTCAGCTCAATGATTCCCAAACTGTGTGCCAAGGCACACCACAGTACTGCAGCCAATTCACAAGAATACTGCAGGATATTTTAAATTTTTCAGGGAAACAGCAACAGCTCTCAGATACCACATAAACTATTACTATCAAGTTGTGTGAATGTAAATATTTAATAAACAGAACTGCTAGGAATTTTTTTTGGCCTGGGAATGCTATGAAAAAATTGCCAAATCACTGTGACCTGAGAAAGTTTTACAATCTCTAGTTTACCTATCTTAGTTTTCCCCTATACCTTTATTAAGGACAACTGTATGGGTTTCATTAGCCTTTTTGAAATATTAAGAAGAGCTCCAAGAATCTTTCTTGCCTCATGAGCCCCAAGTTGGTAACTGGTAGACTAAGGTGTCTCTAAAGTCACATCAACAGAACAAAAGCCTACATTATCAATCAGTGCATCCTTCATGGCGATACCATTACGGCAATACAATACCTCCTGTTCTTGATCACATTTGCCAAAAAACTTTGCTAGAGGTAGAAAATGAGCAAAGAGGGCAATTAACTTGTTGTGTCACATTTGGGAAGACACTTCATTCATTCAAAAAAACTGATTAACTGTATACTGTGTGCCAGACATGAGTGAACAAAACAAAGAGGCCTAATATGCTAAATCTAACGACTAATGACTAATATTCTAAATAACTAATGACTAAAATCTAATGACTAATATTCTCAAATCCAACGCTTAAGATAATGTCAGATAATGGTCACTGCTGACAGGAAACATAAAAGAGGGGATTCACAGTGTCAGAGCAGTGGGGTATGGTCAGGGAAGACTGCCACTAAAGTGACATTCAAGTAGATACCTGAATGAAGAGGGAGAAAGTCACACAGGTAACCGGAGAAAGAGAGTTCCAGGCAGAAGGTTCCAGCAGGTGCAAAGGTGAAAGCATGTTTGGTATTTTAGATACAAGTTTGTGTCTGGCAAGTTGGAGTCTTTAGAATTTGATTCTCGGATGCTTGTTAACTTATTAACCTTGGGAACCTATAAAGCCAAGAGTCAATTCAGGCATGCCTTGTTGACCGGACCAAGATGCAGACACCCCATTAGGTCCCACAGAAAGAGCTTTCTATTTTTTTAAAACAACATCTTTACTACAGTAATTTGAAGAATTGGATCTGAAAAACAAAATCAGATACTCTATTTTGTTAAGGTACTTTGGAAAAGACTGATGATGTCTTATCTGTTACAAAATTCGTAAGACCATTTTTCTCTGAGTAGTGAGGTTAAAAGTAAATTGTACTTCCTTCTTTGCATACATTCTGTATTATTTATATTTTTACAGAGCATTTTTAGTAATTAGGGAAAATACCAAAACCATTTTCATACTCATTTTTTAAAAACATGTTACAAAACTATGTATATGTACTATATATGTAGCAAAATCCTGTTTTTATATAAAAATATAAAACCTGTGTGTACCTGTGTGTCTCTATATTTATAAATGTTTTGGTGAGGTTTTGTTTTGGCAGGGGGAGAAGGTCAATGTCTATGGAGATGTACCTGTTTATAAAAAGAAAAAAAAATTAGAAGAGGAGAAACCAAAATATTAACCGTGGTTATATCTACGTGGTTAAATTTTTAAAAATCATTTTCTGTATTATATTTTAAACTTTTTTATTGAAGCACAACGTGCACAAAGAAAGATGCAAAACATAAACGTACAGGTCAATTAATTATCACATATAACTACCCAGGTAACCACCAACCAGGTGAAGAAATAGAAGCTACCAGCACCCCAAAAGCCCCTCATGCAAACTCCTTCCACCGCTCATATCTTGACTGCTAGCACTAAAGGTTAGTTTTGCCTGGTTTTGATATTGAGATAAATAAAATCACATAATAAGTACAACTTTGGGTTTAGCTTCTTTCACAATGCTTCCTTCTGTCAATTAGATACAGTCTTTTTGGGGTTGAAGGAGGCAGAACTGTTTCAATTCTTCCTCACAGAATCAGCACACGTTACTTTCATTTTTGTCAAGTGCATTCACATAGATGCACATTTAAGCCTCACAAAATTCAGTGAAGCAAATATTCCTGTCATCACTATCCTCATTTTGTAAGGTGAGAAAACAGAGACACAGGGAGACTAGGCAAGTTGCCCACAGTCTCACACTGAATTGTAGGTGGAGATAGAATAGGATTCCAGGCTCCCATTCCTGGAGTCTAGATCCCTTACCACCAGCTAGAGAAAAATATACACAGCTACTGTCCTCTCACATATGAAGAATACAGCTTGACCCTCTATGACATAGTGTGACACCCAACAAATTTCCTTTTTGATTTAGAAAGCATGATTTGCTACATGGCTAAGAGGGAAAACATCTGGAATCTCCCTTGACCTGTACTGAACAAAGAAGAGAAGAGTTTGGATAACTTCAGCCTCTGGGTATGTGTGTTCCCAGCCTCCTCCTACCCAAGCAGTGCAGTGCACAGAACATCTCATAATCTCCTGCCCTTGCTGACTTCCTGTTTTCCCTTCCTTCTTTCCTCCCCTCCTTCCTTCCTTCCTTCCACCCTTCCTTCTCTCTTTCCTTTCTTTCTTCCTTCCTTCCACCAAATGCTTATTGAAAGTCTACTATGCACCATCCACTATTCTTGGTACTTATTATCCAGCAGTAAATAAAACAGACATGGCCCTAGCCTGCTTGAAACTTACAGGCTAGCAAACTGGGGTCATTTGTAAACAAAAGATCCCAAGTGTGCTAAGTATTAAAAGCTTGTGCAGTGAACCTGGCCCAAATTAAGAGATAAATGTTTTTGATCAATGAATCAATGTTTGAATGAATGAACAAATAAAGAGATGGATTGACTGACCTTTAAGATTTTAGAGCTCTGAGATTCTTACCGTAGCAGAATCATTAGAATTTTTTTCTGACTCCAATTTTCTATTCCTATATTGGCATGAGTGAAAAACATTGATGAAGAATTAAGCTAAATCTGTCAGTCAAAAAACTTCATAAGAAAATCAATTAAGTAGCTCAAAATCATTTCTGTACTTTCAGGGAAAAAAAAGCAGCTGCCTGATGATATTTTTAATTGAATTCAGAAGCTATTACCTACAAGAACCTTTAATTTATTCTTACCCAGTCAATTGAAAACAATTTAAGCAAAACAGAATCTGTTTTCTTCTAAATTGCAACTGAGCTGAGAGCTGTCACGCCAAGTTTCACCCAGTGTGAATTTCAGCAGCTGTATGATAAACACCAGTAAAAGAAACCTTTTTCTGGAATGCCAGCAGGACTGCTTTAACCAAGTTTATGCTACCAGGCAACAATCTAAGAAAACCAGTATTCTGTTGCTAATTACTCATCTAAAAGGCTAGAGAGGAAATTACAGAAAGAAGTAATCTGCTTAGTAATTCCCCCATTACTCCATCCTGAATTATCTCTTATCCACCAAACAGTGAACAGAGAAGTTTCAGAGAATCCTAGTTCTCATTAAAGTGGGGAAAGAGAGAGATTGCCTCCTTAAAGGAATCGGGCTTAGCAATTCCATGCTAAGCCCTAACCCCTATAGTAATTTACAAATGTAGTGGGTGAAAGTGACAGAAAAGGAAGTCTTCCAGAGACTGGTAGAGCCACAAACCCTAAATTGATGTGAATACTGTTAGCCACATTGCAAGCTGGCCTCTACTGGCTCGTCCATTCATTCATCACCTGTGAATAAGAAAGAAAAGCTTACAGTCTAATGTGGAGGTCAGATGAGAAACAGGTACACAAATAAACAAGATAGTCAAAGATAAGTTTGTCTTAAAAAAACTGTCAAGGTGATGTGATAGAGAGTAACTTGAGAAGCCTTATTTAATAGAGTGGTTAGGAAAGATCAGAGTATTCTTCTGGCATAAGGTTTTATGTTACAAATGTTTTCTGTGTTCTTTTTAAATCAGTCTAATCATGTTCCTGTCACATTAATTGATGTGGACTCCCAAGCACTGGAAGCTTACTCTCTTTTCCAGCCAACTCATGACGAGTCTGTGGAAAGAAAGGGAAAGGAAGGGAATTGAGGGGTGCGGGGGGAGCCTTAGCAGAATGGCTGAAATGAGCCAACACAAGAATACAAGGAGAAAACCCACTTCTTCCTTTATGATCATGGTATAGGCAAAAATTCCTGAGAGAGGCTAGCAAACCAAGAATACTAAAAAAAAATTGAAAAATTGGATTTCATCAAAATTCAAAGCTTTTGCTCTTAGAAAGACACCATTTAAGAAATGAAAAGGCAGATCACAGATTGGAAGAAAATATTTAATGTATATCCAAAATATTATGTGTATATGTATCCAATATATATCTGTATGTGTAAATATAACATATATGACATATGTATGTATCACGTCATATGTACCTGGAAAAGGACACATAAAGAACATAGAAAGAACTCTCAGACAGCAATAATAAGAAGGCAAACAACCCAGTTTTTAACTAGACAAAAGATGTGAACAGGAACTTCACAAAAGAGGATACATAAATGGCCAATATCACATGAAAAGGTACTCAGCACCATTAGTCATTAGAGAAGTACAAATTAAAACCACAGTGAGATATCTCTTCATACCCACTAGAATGGGTAAAGTGAAAAAGAGGACCCATACCAAGTGATGGTAAGGATGTGGAAAAACTCTCATATACTGCTGATAGCACACACAAACTTGTATACAATGTTCATAAAAGCTTTATTTACAATAGCCAAAAACTAGAAACAGTCCTACTGCCCATCACAGGTGAATGGATAAACAAGTAGTGTTGTATCCATAGGGTGGAATGCTAATCAGTAATAAAATGAATGAACTATTCATACATACAACAACATGGATGAATCTCAAAAACATGCTGAGAAAAATAAGCCAGGCACAAAAGTACATGCTGTATGGTATCATTTATATGAGATTCTAGAAAAAAGGAAATCCCCTCTATAAGTGATAAGCAGATCAGTGGTTGCCTGGGGCCGGGGTCAGAGGAAACTGACTGCAAAAGGACACGAAGGAAATTTTAGGGGTGATGGAAATGTTCTATATCTTAACTGTGATGGTGGTTGCACAGATGTATACATTTGTCAAAACTCTAAAAATGTACACGTAAAAAGATCACATTTTATTGTATGTAAATAATAATAAAGTTGATTTTAACTCAATGAAGTTGATTTTTAAAAATTAGCTTCTTTCAAAAAGTAGTCTTAATGTTTTTTCATAGCACTGGCATAGGTGTGTTGTTTATCAGATCAATTCACAGAATTTGAAATTGGAAAGCTAGGCAGACATGGAGCCAAGATCACCACCACAGCCCCAAAATATTCGCAGGCAGAGTTTACCAAATTTATCACATCAGTCTTGAAAAATGCTCTGTGAAAAAAAAAAGTCTCTAGCTGGTCCAATAGACTGCAGAAAGATCGAATATTCTATCTATAGATTCACATTATACATTACCATAAATATGGTTCTGAAAGTCCTACAGTAAATAAATATCTACTTATGCCAGCCTTTCTTAACTTATTTGATCAAGGAATTCCTAGTGGAATACAGTTTGGGAAACGCTAAATTAGTTGATCAATTTCAATCTGGAAGGAAGTGTCTTAGAGTTTTTAATCACCAATATGTATTTTAAATCTCAAAAGAGAGCAATTTAGTATGTAGCATTTTGCACATGTATTTGAGCACGGTACTCTTTTTCCAGCAGCAACTTGCAAAGTTGCTGTTCCTTTCCATTTTCTTCCAAAATCATTTTTCTAGGGTTCTTCCAAAGATCTTGGTCCTTGACTCTATCCTTATAAACAATTTGGCCAAATGGCAAAAACAAGATTGTCAAATTTCCAGATGATACAAACTTTTTTTTTAAGATAGGCAACACTATAGAATTTGAATTCACTAAGATCTGGATAGGCAAGATTGATGAAATTGTTTTGTAAAAATCTCCTTTGGGTTTGAAGAATCAATTAGTTGAGTGCATATGTTTTGTAGGGGACAGAGGAGAGCTTGCTTTGGCATTTTAGTTGATAATAAACTCAACCAAAAGTATAATGTTGTGGCATCAAAAGCCAATTCAGCTGTAGTCTCCACTGTTAAGAGAATGGTGCCAAGAAATAAGAAGTAAAAGAGCATTGTAGATAAGTACCACTGTAGATCACAAGACGGTGAAAGGTCTGGGAACGACGTCCAAGGATGAGTGTTCAAAATCTGGGGGAAAAAAATACACAGGGATAATAGTATTTGCCTCTGAATACATGGGGAAATTTCATAAATGTCATTCAGGCATCTTGATTGCCAGCTTCTAGGCCTAGTTTTATTTATTTATTTATTTATTTATTTATTTATTTATTTATTTATTTATTTTTTGAGGAAGATTAGCCCTGAGCTAACTGCTGCCAATCCTCCTCTTTTTGCTGAGGAAGATTAGTCCTGAGCTAACATCCGTGCCCATCTTCCTCTACTTTATATGTAGGATGCCTACCACAGCATGGCTTTTGCTAAGCGGCCCCATGTCCGCACCTGGGATCCAAACTGGCGAACC